TTACCAYTTATGCATGCAAATTCTGAAGGGCACTAACTATACAGCTGACAGATTGTGACAGCCACTATATCTCCAAGAATGGAATAAGCAGGAATGACTGTCTGAATAATTAATGTGCTTTTACTCTGCCCATGGCCAGTTTTTACATCCTGCACTTTATGACTGTGGTTTTGAAATTAATTAGAAAATGTAATTCCATACCAAATCAAAACTTTAAGTAAAAATTCTACAAACAAAAGTGTAAAACAGTAAGACCTCTGTTTAATGTCTTATATTTTTAGAGGTCACTCCTATCAAGATGAAAATTAATACCTAGTTCTGGACATTATTTCTATAAGACAACATTATTTCTGTAAAACGATATTATTTCTGTAAAACATTACATCATTACTTCTGTAAAGTAAAATACACACACACACACACACACACACACACACACACAAATTTAAAGAAAAATAGAACTCATCCAGGATATTCAGCTCAAGTAAATACACTATCTTCAACACGGTTTTCAGTTTCAAACCTGAGATTCATCCCTGATTTCAACTTCTCTCTCAGCACTCAGTGTAATCAGCCAATAAGATCTATCAATTTTGCTTTGTAAATATTATCAAATATGCTGCTATCCCTTAATCCCCACTGTTATTCACTTAAAGTGGATCATCATCATATCAACTGAGTTACTGCAGACATCTTCCAGATAATCAAAATACTTGTAGTCATGTAGTCACCCACACAACTTCCAGAATTGCCTAATACAGAAATTCATGCGCAAGGCCGGTGGTACACTTATAGACACATAAAAAGAGAAACTAAAAGCATGCTATAAAGATAAGATACTTAGAATGTGTGAACTAATGAAAAGAGGCATTAAATCAAACTTTGTGTAATATTATGGCGATACATATTCTGGAGAAGAATAAAGCAGATGGGGGCAGAKCATACTCTCAGTTTCAATATTAAATAGCATGTGTTGGGAAGGCTGTCGTGAGGGGGATGTTTGCAGTTTAGGAAGTAAGCCACATGAATAACTGGGAAACTAATTGGAAGAGAAACCAAGAAGGCTAGAGATCTTAGATGGAGCAGCCCGGTGTACTCTTCACCGGCAAAGAAGCCAGGGCAGATAGAGCTCAGAGGAGGCTGAAGATGGAAGGCTTACAGTGAAAACAGTCAGGTGGGTGTATAGTATCCAGACAGGAGGGACCTCTGATGTGGATCAGGGTAGTAACCTAGGAGGTACTCAGGAGAAGTCAGAAGATGCTGATAAATATGCAACACGACAGAAAGGGAATGTAAGAATTACTTCAAGGATTTGTGCCTAGAACTCTCGTAAGAATGGTGTTACTAAATAGGCTTTTTTTTTTTTTTTGGAAAAATTTGATTTGAGGTTTCCTTAAATATATTTAAAGAGATCATTTACTGGGCTGGGGGATGTAGCTCAGTGGTAGAACCTAGGATGTCTGAGTCCCTAGCTTTAAGTCCCAGCACCTCAAAAAAAAAAAAAAGGTGGGTCATTTACAATGGAAAATACCCCTTCTACAGCACATCATTACTGAAGTTCAAAACAAAATGGAAATTTATTTTATAGACATTTACATTGTGCTTAAGGTATGTCTACCTCTACTGTATGGCAGTATATTTTATGCACTCCATGTTACACACAAGGAAAGTGAAGCCCAGAGAAAGTACAACAAATTCATATATTGAGTCTATCTTCAAAGTGTGAGCTTCCTCTTTCTCCACCCTCACTTYGTATTTTATTATTAAAGTAGAATCTAGAGTTTCTCAGTGTTGAGGGTACAGGAAGAGGTAGACTAGTGAGAGAAATGAAGGAATTTCTAGGGTGATTAATATGTTCTATACCTTGATTTTGGTGACACGTAACTTTATCTGCTTGTTAAAGCAGAATGATACATTTTAAAGAATGAGCTCATTCTATTGGAAATACACACCAATAAACCAGACTTTAAATAATACAATCTAGCAAATACTATTAATTGATACAAGCTGGGAATACGCCACACACACACACACACACACACACACACACACACACACACAAAATACGCCTACACATACATCCCAAATGAAGAGTACTACATAAGAGTTCTACATTTTCTCATAGTTCATGTATTAGTCTAATACTTGGGTTTTTTTTTTCCCTGATTAAAGCAATACTTTCTGCATCATCTTCCAATAGTATTTTATGATGAAGTAATATATTTTATTTGTTGCCATAYAATTTTTCATGTGTAATTACAGCCAGTTTTCCACAGTGGGAAAAGAGAGGGTTTCCCCCAGTGAATTTGTTCCTTCCCTACAGGAAATCTCAAACAATACTTCAATAGATTTTTCATGAAGTTTAGTAAAAAGTTGTAAATTACTAGATAAAGCATGACTTTAAATACTGATAAAAAAAGAGATTTTAATTTTATATTCCAGGTATAAAGTTATTATAAATTCTGATATTCACATTGCTGTGTACTATCATTACCATGTACACTCCAAAACCAAATATTCTTAGGATATAAGAGATAAATACCAAAAAGAAGTGTAAAAAAATACTTCCAATGTCCCTAACTGAAGAATGAATGAATAAAATGTGTTATATAAAGGAATATTATTCTCCCATGAAAAGAAAGATAGTCATGAGCATCCTACAATAGGGTTAAACGTGAAAATATGCTAAGTGAAAGGACAGATATAAAATTATTATATATGATTTCATTTGTAAGGCAATTCCACAAAGAGAGAAACCATGTTACTGGTTGCCAAGAGAGGAACTGAGGGATGAATGTGTATAAACTGTCAAAAGATACAAGGTTTCCTTTTAGAATGCTTAAAATGGTATGTAATGTGATAGCTGACCTACTTATGAGTATCACAAATACTAATATATTTTAAAAGGGTGAATTTATTATATATGAATAACAACTAAAGAATAAGGAAACATACACTGCCAACCATTCAACATTGTAAAATCCCTGATTCCTTCAAATACTTCAGATTTGGAGGCTGTCATAGTCATTACAGTAAATATTGTCTTAATTCCTTCTTATATTTTTTAATGAAAATAAATATGAGGAAAATTCTGAAATATGATTTCCATTATTGTTCTGAAACATTATTTCCATTATTCTTGAGTATGCTAGAGAYAGTCGAGTTAAAAAAGTCATTTTTTTATGGCAGACATGGTATCCATGAGCTGTTCTAAATCTTCTCCCAGTTCATCTTGCTACATTTTCTCACCACATCAGTACTCTTCCAGTAACACTGAAAATAGTTGTCCTTCTAATGGCCATTCCTTGCTCCTTCACMAATCAGTCTGCGAGCTGGGAATGCCTCGCCTTTACTCCAGTGAACTTCACAGCTTCTATGATGGTTTCAAGACCCACCAAGAAAACTGAACTGCTTCCACCTTTCTCTTCTAAGAGTTTGTCAATAACTCATTGAAAATATGTACAAGAGTATCTAGAGCTTCATCTTTACCTTTAGCTTTTAATGTCTCCTGAGGAAGTGCATTTAAGTCTTGTTTGGATTAATTTTTATTTATTTATTTATTTATTTATTTAGCAAAAAGGAATGGTTGAATGGACCTGTTTTTTTGGTTAACTGAATTAATTTATTTCACGGACATTAAGTACCAAATAAACCATTTCATTTTCAGTTTAGAAGAACAATGTCTGCAAAATTTAGATGCAAATGTAATAAGCCAATAAATACAAATGAAAGATTCAATCATATCTACTCAAAAGAATGAAAATAATACATGGGAAATTAATGCAGTGATGGAGAAATCAAGGCAAAAATATTTAAAGGATGAAATATCAGTCCAAAAATTTCATCACCTACAAAGGCAAGTGCACTGTTTTCATAGTGCTAACTCACTCAGCACTTTTAAGGCTACGAGAAAATAGAGAATCTATGAAAACAGATTGATAGTAGTTTTAATATATACCAATTATATCAGTAATCCAAAATTGAATGAACAGAAATTACTGTAATGTTAACAATGAAAAAGTTGATATTTCTAACTTTCAGATATATATTAATAATAACTCATATTTTAGACATTTACAAAGTTCTTTAGAGAATTTAATTTCAGTAACTTCAAGTACAAAGGAAATTCCAATATTAATGTTGATTGCTTAATATAAAGGTTCTTTCTGCCTTCTATGATTTGCTGGGAAAAATATAAATATATGCCCTGACCTAAGGTTATACTCTGAAATTGTTCAGGTTGTACTCTATAAATGTTTGTTTGTTTGCTTGGTTTGATTTGGTTTGGTTTGGTTTGATTTTGATACAAGGAATTGAACCCAAAGCACTTTACCATCAAGCTACATTCCCAGGCCTTTTTTAAATTTTTATTTTGAGATGGGCTCTCACCAAGTTGCTGAAGCTCACCTGGAACTTGTGATTCTCCTGCCTGAGCTTCTCAAGTCACTAGGATTACCTTAAATAAATTTGTGATAAACGTAATCATCACTTTTGCTTTGTATTAAACATCTTGCTGTTATCAAATGAATGTATTTTATCTCCTAATACTCATTCACAATTAAATGAAAATGAGAGCAAATCAAATGAATTAAAAATGACATTCATATGTTGTCCATGTACCAACTGAAAAACAAATCAGCATCTTTATTTCTCATTAGTTAAATAAGTAATACATCATACGCACCTTTTCAAGAGAGCTAATAAATCTATTCATTTTTTAGCCCATTTGTTTTTCAGATAGCTAAAGCATATTTCCTCAAAATAAAGTATGCTTAACTTTATTAGTTGTAATTTTTTCAGAAAATATCGATTTATTTTCCTAGTCTATATTAATAAATGTCAATTTATTTCCCAAAAATACATAAAATTCCATTTTAACATGCTGCATTTTTGATATGACAAAAACTCATAAAAGCATTATGCTAATTGAATATAAATACAGTAAACACAGTTTTTAAATTACTAATAAATATGACTGGAAACAATAATCTATCAATTACCTTAGTTTGTTCTTCAATTACTAAAAATCCATGTTTTTTCCTCCAACTTAACAAATTAAACATTCCTGTAACAAAAGAAAGAAAAGATTCAATTGAACACCAAGAAAAAAATATTTTATTTTTTGGTTATATAGAACTGTTTGAGTAATTCCTGCTACTTGACAAGTCTATTTTTTATTCACAATGCTTAGTGTGTCATAGCAACAGACTATGATAAAAAGAGGCAATTCAGGATACATCTGAAACATGTTCACTGGACATATGAATGAATCTGGTAGGTACAACATTTAAATATTTTCCTAATTAAAAGAACATACAAGTTTTAAAACAAATTCTAAGATTTCCAAGAACTAGCCTAGTTTCTTAACAAGAAGCACTAAAATGTTGATATAAATCTTATCACTTGTACCTTTAGAAAACTGCTGTGGAAAATAATTGAGAAACACCTTAATATATTTTAGTACATAATCATATGTGYCCCCACACATGAATGCAACATTCTCCATACACTTAAATATTCATACAAATTATGATTATAAAAATCAAGATAGATTCAAAGTTTTTTTAAAAAATTAGAAAAATACACAAAACGAATTTACTTCAATCTTTGATATATAGGATTTTATTTGTCTTCATTTTCTTCAAGATATCATGATTTTTTCCATTTATTGTGTTATTAAATTAAAATTTAATATGCCAGATTCTTTTCCCAAAAAAAAGAGTATTTTCCTACAAAGCATCCTCCTTACATTTTAATGTTGACTAGTAATAAGACAATGGTCATACTAAATTTTAAAATTTCTAGTAAATCTATTTAAGAGCTTTAAACAGCCATCCATTTCATTATTTATTCTGATATTTAAATGTATTACAGTATTTTCATAGTAGCACTTTGCTCTTAGTAGAAATTCAAGGAGCTACACATATGTCAAAACAGTGACAAAAGCCATCATTTGTTCAAGCATTGTGCCACCAAATGGATAAGAAATTAGAGATAGAGCAAAAAGTCAATAGGATAAAATTAAAATTGAGTTCTTAGTAAAATTACTTTATTTGAAATTAGGAATACTATAACCTAATATGAAAACAAATTTGTTGAAATTAGTTGCTAATGAAAGTATTTTATTTGGTTTGCAGATTTAAAAATATTAAACAATGGAACGCAMTGTATTTTTTCTAGTGAGTGTCTACTCATATTTGGCCAATTAGTAAGGTTTTATACCAATACTGTAACCAAAACCCACAGTGAATGTCATATTTGGTTACGTGGACAGACAACTAAAAGCAATTTTCAAACCAACTGCTTGGATTTAATTTTTAACACCCACTCTCTCAAAAAATGAAGAATGTTTTTTCAAGAACTACTGACTATCTACATGGGTTATACATACACCCCCTTAGTTTTTGAAGAATGGTCATATCCCATTTTGAAAATGTTTTACATATCCTGAACAAGCATGGGTACTAACAGCACAGGCTTACCTACAAATATCATCAGTCTTTAGGGCTTTTTCCTCCCATGCAGGAAATACTTTCTGACATCCAAGCAGGACCAATACTTCCCAAGTGCTCTTTGACACACCACACCCACCTCACCACAGGTAGATCTATGCATGTCTTCTAATGCTCCCATACCTCTTTGTTTTGTTCTTTATTTTGCTGAACTGTACACTGTTTTAAGAACTGCAAAAGAATAGGAACTCTGCCTTCTTCTGTATCACCTCTCCCGACAGGCACATAATAATGCTTAAAAATGCTTACTGGGTAAACAAAATAGTTGCATTTTTTATAAATATTTTTTTAAAAAAATGTTTCTTGGAAACTGTAATACAGTAATACAAAATCAAAACYGTAGCATTATATGTGTCTTTAGTTTTCACAGCTATCTCTATAGGTTTCTTTCTTTTTCTTTTTATACATAAGAACAGAGACTCTTTAATTTACAATATGGTTTTCAACATTGCATGATTTCACTCCATTATAGCCACTTTGGGCACTTAAGAGTGGGCATAGAGCTCAGACCAAGGACAAGCTTACATAGAGCCACTTAGCCCCCTGATAAGACTGGCAGGTATGAGCCCAGCAGAGGAAAGGAAAGCTGAAGGGAATGGAAAAAAAAAAAAAAAACTAAGAAAAGATAATAGCATCTTAACAGATGATACTGTTCTATCAGTATAAAATAATAGGGCTAAAGTTTGCCTATACTTCATAACTTGAACTAAAAGAGATTTTTAAAAACTAAGTATTATAAATGTTTGATTTGCATTTCTCTAAAGGCTAGAGATGTTGAACATTTTTTCATATATTTCTTGATTGATTATATATTATCTTCTGAGAAGTGTCTGTTCATTTCCTACAYTGATTGGGTATTTGGATGTTTTTGGTGTTAAGATTTTTGAGTTCTGGGCTGGGGTTGYGGCTCAAGCGGTAGCGCGCTCGCCTGGCATGCGTGCGACCCGGGTTCGATCCTCAGCACCACATACCAACAAAGATGTTGTGTCTGCCGAGAACTAAAAAATAAATATTAAAAAAAAAATTCTCTCTCTCTCTCTCTCCTCTCTCACTCTCTCTTTAAAAAAAAAAAAAAGATTTTTGAGTTCCTTATATGTCCTGGAGATTAGTGCTCTACCTGATGTGCATGTGGTAAAAATTTGCTCCTATTCTGTGGGCTCTCTCTTCTCTTCACTGATCATTTCTTTTGCTGAGAAGAAGCTTTTCAGTTTGCATCCATCCCATTTATTGACTCATGATTTTTTTACTTGTGCTATAGGAGTCTTGTTAAGGAAGTTGTGGCCTAATCCAACATGATAAGAAACTAAGATTTCATCTCACTCCAGGCAGAATGGCAGCTATTAAGAATACAAATAACAAAAAGTGTTGGCAAGAATGTGGGGAGAAAGGCACACTCATACATTGCTGGTGGGACTGCAAATTGGTGCAAACAATCTGGAAAGTTGTATGGAGATACCTTGGAAAAGCTGGAATGGGACCACCATTTGACCCAGCTATCTCACACCTCGGTTTATACCCAAAGGACTTAAAAACAGCATACTATAGTAATGCAGTCACATCAATGTTTATAGCAGCTCAATTCACAATAGCTAAATTGTGGAACCAACCAAGATGCCCTTCAATAGATGAATGTATAAAGAAACTGTGATATATTTACACAATGGAATATTACCCAGCATTAAAAGAGAATAAAATCATGGCATTTGCAGGTAAATGGATGGAGTTGGAGAATATCATGCTTAGTGAAGTAACCAATCCCAAAAACACAAAGGCCAAATGTTTGCTCTGATATGTGGATGCTCATCCATAATGAGTGTCTGGGGAGGTAGTATGAGAGGAATGGAGGAACTTTAGATAGGGCAAAGGAGAGGAAGGGGAAGGGAAGGGGTATSGGGGTAGGAAAGATGGTGGAAAGAGATGGACATCATTACCCTAAGTATATGTATTAAGACATGAATGGTGTGACTCTACTTTGTGTATAACAAGAAACATGAAAAATTGTGATCTATATGTCTACTATGAATTGAAATGCATTCTGCTGTCATGTATATCAAATTAAAATAAATATTTTTTTTAAAAAAGCAATAACAAAAAATAAATAAATGAATAAATAAATAAATATGTTTGAGCATGTGACTAGAGGGAAAGCACTTAAGGAGGACCTAAAAATTTGGTGTGTTTTAGTTAATGTATTCAAAAATCTATATATTCTTTAATTTATATTTATACATAGTTCAAAAGTAACATAAAAGCAATGTACTAGAAATTATTGCTATTCACTAGAGGGCTTGTGAAATGGGTCTAAGTACTAGATTRCTTTAATTAAAAGTTAAAAGTTAGATTATCCTATGCTTTGCATCAAACTTTATAAAGCAATCACACATTAAAAGAAATCAAAAGTGGAAAATAAAATATAAATAAGGTTCAATTCACCAATTTAAATAAGAAATGATAAGCATGAATGTCCAAGGAAAATTTTACAATCCTGCGATAGCAAATTCTAAAAGTAGAAAAATCTTACTAAGAAAATATTTAATCTGCCAGGCACTACTCTAAGTGGTATGGATTTAAGAGTAAAGAAATAAAAASAGCACTCACGGAACTTGCAAGTACATTTCCATTGGAGAGCATACAGAGGGAGAAAGGGAAATGAGAGAGACAATATGCATCTGAATACACATATAAACATTTTGCATATTTTGTATTATATGCAATATGTGATGTAGATAGACTTTTCATTTATGTACTAAATTCTTAACATGCAGCACATATTGTTTTAAATTATTTATTTTTGTTTTCACTTTACATTTTTTAAAAAAATCTTCTGAGGTTTGTATGGATATTATTATCATCTGTACATGTAAATATACTAAGGCACTGAGTGGCCAAGGCAGATTTGACTGTAGGAAGTTCAAAATCAGTGTTTGTACCCTCAAGCCTCTCCAATAGTATACTGATTTTTACTACTCATGGTTTCAGGGGATATATATATAATCTAATAGAAAATTAGCTTCCTTAAATCAATGTTTTAGAAAACATTCACCTCAGAATTTTATAATGTTCATCACTGTTAGAGGATACCATCACCTTCTGATACTTAAATAAGGTTTCAGGAAAACCCAATAAAAATTAGTCTGGAAATAAGAAAATAAAATTCATTTTTTCTCTTATTTCAAGTGGTATTAAATGCAGAAGTATGTAGCACTGAAAGCAGAGAATCTCTTCTTCTGCAGGCAGGTTGGATCTGTTTATACTGCAAGCCTCTGCCACCAAGAAATGTGCTGCAGCTCTTAATGGTTGGCTGTGCCCTCCAGTGTTGCAGCAGACAGCAGACACTCACCACCAATTTCTTCTTTCTGAGCACTTGTCTCATGAATTTGAAGAATGAAATCCACAGACAAAGAAGAGTGAGTGCAATAGAGTAGGATTTATTCATGTGGGAAGAAAAGGGAGCTCTCACAAAACAAGAGGGGAGTCCATAGGGGTTGCCACTTGAGTGTGTTAGTCTAGGGGTCCATATAGSACTTGGGTCAATTCTACTGGTCCAAATTTA